AAACACACAACACACAACACACAACACACAACACACACAGACACACACATACACACAGACACCGACCCCGTTCCTGCGCAGGTCGTGTAATGCAACGCTTAGTCTGTAACATTAAGTTCTTCCACCGTGCTGTGTGATTCATATTACGTTCTAGTCTCCGGAACGAAGTTTTGTGGAAATTGGTAGAATCGGCGTTGTGCGCACCTTCTTAGCTCGCCGATAGAGGACCGGATTCAGACCTGTCCATGCCGACCCTTCAATTAGGCTACACCGAGTACCCGAGTCTGAATATGCCAGAAACCCTCTTCAAGGAACCTTCTGGGATAACAACCCGCGCATCAGTCGAGGAACGGATCATGAAAGCGTAATTCTCCAACTGCTTACTTGTGAAGAGATCATATATCCACTTTAGGATGTCCGCCAGTACAAAAAAACGAGCTCCCTGACCCTTGAAAAACACCCCGCGACACACGCAACGGGCCACCCCGGGTATAGAGGCGTCTCGTGTCACGCCATGCCCTACGATGGCTAAATCGGTCATGGCAGAGACTTCAGCTATAATAAGGTACAACTTGTCGCCTCCACTCCTACTTGACATCCTGGGCACGGTACACCCAGGTGATCGTGGGATCGGATGCCCACGAGAGGGAGCACGGACAGCATTGTGACTCCCAGTAAGGAATCCGTCTATAAGTGGCGTAAACAGCAGTGTTGAAATCTTATTGGCATATTAACAGGACCGAAAAAATCTTCGGTAAATATTATAAGGATTGTTTTTTGATCCCAAGAACAAAATAACGAACGTACGTCACACACACACACACACACACACAGACACACACACACACACACACACACAGACACACACACACACACACATCTTTGGTGTTTGTGTTTCCCGCCAAACCGCCCACTCGATGATTGTTTATGACTCCACTCAATTTTCCGTAACCGTTTCGCTTGGTTTTGGATTTTCGCGGCAGACAACAACAGCGACGGCGAGCGGAAGAAGGTGGTGCTGTTGTTGTTGTGTGTTGGTGCACGTTGCTGGGTGCGTGCTGTGTTGTGCTGTGAAGGACCAAACAAGAAGGCAACAACAGTGAGGCAACCGAGCAACGATGAGAGGACAGGCGGAAGAGGAGGTGCTTGAGCTGCGGCGAGCGCTCACGGACGCCGAGGAGCAGGTGCGATTTCCTTGTGCATGTGTGTGTCTGTGTGCATGAACAAGGCGCGCTTCCTTCCTTATCATGTCTCCCGTGCTCTCCCCAATGTCGTCCAACAGCTGACGTGTGCACTGCCATCGCCTGTTGCAGGTGTCGGAGCTGCTGCGCGAGCGGGATGAGCTCAAGGGCGAGTTAACCGAGACCAGGTCCACGCTGCAGCAAGCCGCTGAATTTGGCTCCCAGCTCGTTGCCCAGGCCAACCAGAGCAAGTGAGTCTGAGGTCGATTTGGCGCAGGAGGAGGATGGCAAGAAGAACTGCATTCATGCGTGTTGTATGTGCTTGTGTGTGTGTGTGTGTGTGTGCGTGTGTGTGTGTGTGTGTGTATGTGTTCATGCGTGACTCGTTATGGGTTACCAGCTGCGGCTGCTTGCCGTGCCCTTTCTTGTGAACTCATCCGTGTCGGCTGGCAACTTGTGCAGTGCCGAGCTGGAGTCTGTTCGCGCAGAGCTCGAGGCCAAGGCGCTGGAGATTGAGGTATTGGAGAGTCTGTTCGAACCGTTGATGGCAAAGCTGGAAAGTGGCTATATCGCCTGGTTGACCACCGCGTGGCAGTGCAAAGCTACCCAAGCACAAGGCGTGTGCATGTTGTGGCCCATGCTCACTCCATGTCTGTGTTCATGCATCGTTCCCCAACGTTTAGAGCTACCAAGCACAGATGCAGAAGCTCACGACGAAGAACCAGGAGCTTGAATCCGAGCTGGCGGTGAGAGCGCGCACGCATGTGGTGGCGGTTGGGAGCAGAGGGGCACCCTGAGTGCGGGTATGGGATGGGGTGCAAGTTTGGCCAGTCTCCTTGACGTGGTTTGCGACAGTTCACACAGCCCTCACACATGCATACGCACATGTTCGCGCCCACGCACACACACACACATACGCGCGACATCGTGGCAGGTTGTGCTTGAGGAGATCGAGCACAATGAGCAGCTGTCAAAGGATATGACGACACGGACGGCGAAGCAGCAGCAGCGCGAGAAACAGGTGCGGCTGAAGGAGGGCGAGGAAGGTAGTGAAGGGAGGGCCATCTGTGTATGACGCATGTATTACGTCATGCATCCCACAACAGGTCTATTGGCTCGCGCGCACATGTCACATTCCGCTCACACACACACACACACGCACGCACAAACATGCACACACATGCACACACACGCACAAACATGCACACACATGCACACACACACACATATGCTCGCCACCACCCTTCAGCACCATGCTGTTGTGTCGCGGCTTGAGGACCGGCTGGTGATTGCGACGAGCGAGGTGGAGCGGGCAGAGCGACGGGCGCACGCGGCGGAGGAGGAGAGGGACGTGCTGACGGCCAAGATGGAGACACACGCCGGCACCATTGAGGAGCTGCAGATGCAGGTGCCCTTGGTGATGGTGTCTTGTGCGTGTGTGTGTGTGTGTGTGTGTGTGCGTGTGTGTGTGTCTGTGTGTGTGTGTTGACGAGTCAATGTTGCATTTCTTCGATAATTTTGATGCAATTGTGCTCGCTGACACGGAACCTCCCTGGGCTTTGGCTGGCCTGTTTGCTGTTGCCAGGTGCGCTGCCTTGAGAGCGACTTGTCTGCGATAAAGGAAGACCACAAGCACGAGCGTGAGTAACGGCTGCTCTGCGGTGTGGCGGCAAAGACAACACTCACATTCTTGTGCCTGTGTGTGTGTGTATGGTTAACAGCTTGTGTCTGCGAGCACTGATTACACGTATGCCCGACTGCAAATGCACACATGTAACACATTTGCACACCCTCACACTCCACACGCATGCATGATCACAACTGGCAGTGGAAGACGTGCTTGCAAGCAAGGAGGAGGCCGAGGAGAAGTTCAAAACGCTGCAGACGTCCAGCCAGCAATTGCGCAATACGCTGATGGCGCGCTTTTCCGCCCAGCAGTCTAAACACGCGGAGGAGGTGCTGTGTGTGTGTGTGTGTGTGTGTGTGTGTGTTTGTTTGTTTGTGTTTGTGTGTGTGCGTACACTGCCACTATTACCATCACATCCCACTGATCACCGCTCCCCGATCACCATCACGACACGGCCATCGCTGTCACGACTGCAGGTGTCGCAGCTTGAGGAGCTGGTGAGCGATCTCAAGGAAGAGCTCCGGCACGTCCGAGAACAACTGGCAGACGGCGACGGCAACGGTCGGTGGGGATAGTGGAGGCGGTAGTGATGTTGTTGTTGGTGATGATGGTGGTGGTGCACTGCGTGTGTGTTTGGCTTGTCCACACTCAAGCAGCTGACATTGAACACACACACACACACACACACACACACACACACACACACACACACAATCGCAACCCGTTTAGGCTCTGGAGACGAGGGTGGGCTGTCGCTGGAAATGGAGATTGGGAAGCAGACGATGATGGAGGAATTGCGAACGCAGCTGGCAAACACACAGCGCAGTGTTGAGGAGAAGGATGCCGCTATGGCCAAGGCCGCAGCCGCACACGCAGAGGAGGTGGAGGCGTTGTCCCAGCGGTTGCTTGCAAGCAAAGAGGCGGCGGCGGCGGCAGAGGAGAAACGCACCGCCGCTGGTGTTGAACTCGCCGCACTCAAGCAGGAGCTCAGCACGGTCACCAAAGAGGTGTGTGTGTGTGTTGTTGTTGTTCTTGTTCTGATTGTTGTTCTTGTTGTGCGTGTGTTTGATGTGTTTCGTTTCGTCGCTTGTGTCCCAACAGCTGTGTGTTCGCCGCCCCGTTGACGCATACACACACACACACACACACACACACACACTCTCTCTCTCTCTCTCTCTCTCTCTCTCTCTCTCTCTCTCTCTCTCTCTCTCTCTCTCTCTCTCTCTCTCTCTCTCTCCCCCTCATACACACTCACACACACACATACACACACACACCACTATTACCACGTGTGTGCAGCTTGCATCGGCGCGCGCGTCCGAAAGCGAGCAGAAGAAGCGGGCGGGCGATCTTGAGGAGACGACGTCGGAGCTCAAGGCCGACCTGCACCGCACCAAGCGTGCACTCGAAACAGCAAAGCAGGAGGTGTGGGAGATGATGATTATCATGTGGGGAAGGAGGTGGTTGATGAGTCACGTTGCACTTCGGCTTTCATTGTCGTCTTTCCTCCTTGTCATTCACACACGCACACACACACACCATACTCCACTCACACTCACGCCATACACATAAACACACACACGCACACTCACTCACACGCACACACACACTCTCTCTCTCACTCTCTCACACACACACACGCTCTCTCTGTCTCTCTCTCCCCCTCCCATTGCTTCAGGCCGGGGAGAGCGGGCGAGCGGCGGCGTTGGCGGTGGAAGAGCTGGAGCGGAAATTGGAGCGCGCAACAGCAGCGGCGGCAGCAGCCAGCAGCGAGGCCGAGAGGGAGAGGGACGCACGACGCGCACACGAGCAGGAGCAGCAGGATGTCATTGCACAGCTGCAGGCCGAGCGGTCGTCACTGCTGGAGAAGTCTGAGACGGCCGGTGGCGCCCGCCGCCGCCGCACGACAGCGCCAGGAGGAACTCGCCACCCAGCTCGGTACGTTGTGTACGTGTGTGTGTGTGTGTGT